AAAAAAATAAAATATTATTTTATGAATGCTAAAAAAAAAAAAAATAATTACAAAACAAAAAAAAATATATTTTATGAATACTAAAGTATTTGTCCCATATGAATATTGACTTTACTAATATTTTGAAAGAAGATTCCATAATATACACAAAATGGGGGCAGTTTGTTGGAATTTTTGGGTAGCTTTGTACTAGTGAGCCAGCCAAAAATTCCAACAATGTTAGATCTTGTTAATGATATATTTCAACCTTATATGAAAAATAATGCCAACCCAATTTATATTCACCCCGATTCTAACCACCCTCCATTTGTAATCGAACATATATCTTCATCTGTAGAATGTAGGATTAGCAACCACTCATCAGAAAAAGATGTGTTTGATGAATATAGCAGTGCATATACTAAAGTTTTAAAGAATAGTGGTTATAAGTACGCTGAAATCAAGTTTAGGAAATATGATGATAGTTGTCCAAAGAAAAGAAATAGAAATAGGAAGATCATTTGATACACACCCCCATTTAATCAATTAGTCAATACTAAGTTAGGCCAGATATTCCTCCATTTGATTGATAAACATTTTCCTAAAAGTAACCCTCTTAGTAAAATATTTAAGAGACACATTAAAACTAAGTTATAACTGCACCAATAATCGTGAAAATTATAAAGTTACACAATAATAAAATTTTAAACCAATTTAATAATCTGGATCATAATAGGCATTCCAACATAAATGTTATTAATGATATTGGCTAATGTAATTGTAGGAATTTTGACCAATGCTCATTGCTAAACAAAAAATCTCTTGTTTATCTTACAATAGAGAATCTGATGGTTGATATATTCTATATTGGTAATATTAAGAATTCTTTTAAGACTGGGTGGTATCAACATATCTTGTCCTTTCCAATACTACTTGCAGGAATAATACATCACTTTCTAAATATTATTGGAGTGTAAAAGATGGTAAGATTCCTAAGGTGAAATGAAAAGTTTTAAAAACGGCAAAGACATGTAGATCTTTATATTTTTTTCATAAAAAGAGGTTGTATTTTGCTTTTAAATCTAAATAAATCATTCACTCACCAGTAATTTACAATCGTCTGATAAGATGCATTGATATGCATTGAAACACAACTGCAATTGTGTAGCTATTTTTGTGTTTTCAGTGTAATATTCTAAAATAAATAATATTGCTCTACTCTATATTGAGTCCTCTTTTAAATGTTAAATGTTGGAATGAATTTGGATATATATATATATATATATATTATATATATATATATATATATATATATATATAGGAATAATTTTAGGAAAAATTTGAAAATTTGACAAAACGGAAAAAGATTTTTCATGTAACATGCTTCATCTTTTAGGACTTCATCGAACTAGAGTGATGTTTATATTGATGTGATTACACGTGCATGAATGAGAAGGGATTATGAAATTTTAAATTGAAATTTCTAAATATTTTTTTTTATTTTAATTTTTCCTTTTAAATGTGTTTGGTTAAAAAAAAATTAAAATTTCCACCCCTTTCATGCACATGTATAATCACATCACTTTGATGAAGTCCTAAATGATGAAACATGTCACACAAACTATTTTTCTACTTTGTCCTTTAAATATATATATATATATATATATATAATCATTATGTGCTAGTGTTAATAAAATAGTGCTCAAAGCAATATAACAGAGCTATAAGTTATATATTAATAAATATACATTCTTTTCTTTACCACTAGCATGACTTGGAGTTTCATTAACAATGCTTTTTTTGGGTTCTCAAGTTAGTCTCAATTCAGCACCTGAAGATTGCGTTGTACGAGTCGTGTTATCAGTGTGGATAAGAATGTATATTTATATATATATATATATATATATATATATATATATATGCACACACAAATATATATAAATGTGGTGTGTTAATTTTTTTAAAAATTTTTTCATGTCCCTTTATGATTTTGATGACCATGGTTCTCCATACATTTTTTTTTCTTTATCTGTGAATTCTTGGCGAAGATAGTGAAGTACTTTTCTCTTTTGTCTTCACAGTTTTGAATTCAGAATCTTTCCTTATTTTAGATTGACTACCACTCAAGCCTAGAGAGACTAGTATACCTTGCTATTTAACACATAACTTAAGGCAAGAAGAGATGGGCTCATGTCTTTTCTAAGAGCATAAATGTGAAAGTGAACACAAGACAAAGTTGAAACTTGAACTCTTCATTTTATATATGAGGATTATATTGATTTTTATTCTAACAAGTTTTAATGTTGTTTTATTAGCATTATATATAGTTAAAAATACTCAAACCGTTCTCACTTGAATAAGAAGTGTTAACATTTTAAAAATAATTATATGGTGATTCTTGATGTGACACAATGCTAAAGGGAGTAGAAAAATAATGTTGACCCATCTTTCATGCCAGGGGTTATCAATTTTAAAATCAGCATTTGAAATAACTGTTTTACCTGGGCTAAAACACAGAGCCTTACTACAGTACTTAACTATTTCAGCAGCATAGGAGGCTGTTGGAAGAAAAAAAACAATCGCAATTAATGTTTTGAGTCCTGTTACTTAATGAATTTCTTTTGCTCATCAATGTTTCCATTTTGCTGGTCTGTTTCCTTATTGCCTTTTTTGTATACACTTCATTTCTCTGCATTTTATTCTCACCAACACTTTTTTCCTTACAGTTCTGCATGTTTTTCTCTTATGCTACTCCCTCTCCACCATGTTTTTTTTTTTCTCCTATGTCATTCTCCTCCTGCTAACTCCTCCATCTTTTTCTCTTACATCACTCTCCTCTTATCTTCTCTGTTTGTTTTCCTTTGCCTTTTCCTTTCCACCCACTGCTTCACATTTCTCTTAACCTACCACTCATTTTTACTCCCACTCTCTTTTTTACTCTCTTTTCTCTCCTGCACATTTATTTCTCCCTTTTTTAATCTTCTTCTCCATTGAACATTCTTCTCTCTCTCTTCCTTTCCTCCTTTTCTGGATTTCCTTTTTCTGTTTCACTGCATTTTTCATGGAGATAAGGTAATTTTAATAACTTATTAAAAATGTATCTCCCACCAGTACCAGGAGTCAATCCCAGATAATAGATTGGGTTTGAGTGTTGATTTTATTTTTTCTAGACAAGTAAACATGCATACCCTCCCTACTTGAAAGATTGGTGTAATATAATTTTCCTACCTTCATTTAGACTTGAGCTGTACTAATCTTAGTAAATAATGATAATTGACTGGATGGTCATAATTCAGACTGGCAGACCATTTGATTTTTACTTGGAAAAGATTTTATGTAACCGTACCTGTTGTCGTACCCTTTAGCAATATAGTTTTATCATTGATCTGCTATGATATTATCTGTTTTGTGGGATGATTTTATGAAACTTTTATCAATTAATCTTGTACTAATAAACAGAGTAAATGCTCACTGAAATACCAGAAATGATGGTAATAGTGAGAATATCTGTTTCCATACAAGAAACTTTTGCCTTTCATTGACTGAACAATTAGCATTGTCATCAGTTGAAATTTATAAAATCTTTCTCTTAAAACAGTGTTTCAGAAAAATTAGCTTCTCAAGTCTATTGTTATTGCCCTTTCTGATATTGACGGGGTTTTCCTTCCTAACCTTTTATTTAAGGTAGTGTGCAATGTCGACATCATCCTTCCTTCTAGTTACATCTATTTTAGTTGTCTCTGCTTTTGGAAGTCACCAAGTGATGTGGTTTATGTTATCTAGTGAAGTTCTTGGTGATTTTGTACCACCAGTCTATAGGGTCTCATGAAGGATTCTATTTTTTAAGACCTAGAGGATTCATTCACCTGAAGTCATTTTTATCATTGATCTGAGAACAGTTGTATATAGCTGATAGTTTAAACTTTTACAAATGAATTGGATGGCACTCTGACCTTTCCTTAAGGTCAAGGATGAATTTATAATAACTGGTTCAGCCAATGATGATGTCACAGTTTGAGTGGGAACACAGAACACACTTTTGTTCTCTATTTAAAATTATTACCTTTGAGAAAAACTTGTTCAGGTAACTTGTCTTGCAAGTTTCAGACATTAATGAAATCTGGTTAATAAATTCAAATATGACAGTATAAACATTTCTTCAGTTGGATACATATGTACATGGCCAGTGCAAGGGTCTTGTGCCCTATCCCTGAATCCCTCAATACAAATGAGGGATATGTCATAATAGATCATTCCATCTGAAATAAATCAATGTTTTGCAGTAATTCTTAGCATTAACTTGAGAATTTCTTTTTAAAAAGTTGAATTAATTTAACACATTCAACATTATGGATGAAAATAGTGAATTTTGTATGGTGTTTTTTCGAGACTTTGCAAAACAAATTCGCAGATTTAGACAAACAATAAAAAAATCAAAACCCAGAATGATGTAAAAACCTGAAAATTTTTCATCTTTTAATAGTTGGTTGTGCTTAGTTTAATTTGTAATGTATATAAATGTAAGTAAAAAAAAAAAAAAAAAGGAAAAGTTGATAAGATAGCAAGGTTCACAAAGCACTGCTTGGGGCCTTCAATCAAGCTTGTTTTTGAGTTCAAATTAAAAAAATGATTTAGCCATTCATTTCAATTGAATACTTTGAACCAGGGATAAAAAATAAGTCAAAATGCTGCCTGCAATCATTGCAAGAAATGTTTAAAAAAGAAAAAAAGTTCATTTTTTAACATGTTGTTCCCACAACGTTTCAGCCTTTTTTTTTATCCTTTGTTTTATCCTTTGTTTAAGAAGCACTAATATTTCTAGCAATAAAACACATTTTAGGCTAACTGTATTTGCTTCTCAGTCTTGCAGAAGTTCAGAGATGCTAAGAATTTACTTTTAATTATATATGTAAATATACCCGTAAGAAAAAAAAAAAGTATGGTTTTGCAGGATATCTATTTTTCAATATCATCTCCTTCTTTGTTAATGCTTTTAATTCAATGGTAACGATTAATTGGCTTACAACCATATCATGTTGAATTACCAGTTTCTGTATGATCACTGAAGTTAAGCAACATCAAGCCTGGTCAGTACTTAGATGGGTGACTGCTTGGGAATACCAGGTGTTGTAAGTTTGGATGTACTGGGGGTGTAATGGATAATAGCTCAGTATTGGAAATCAGAGAGGTGAGTTCCAATTCCAATTGTAGAACTTGTATTAGTAAATCATTATTATCTCCCCTCAAAATTACAATCTAAAAATATTTTCCGGCTTTAAATAACCTGCAAAAAGTTGATAATCCTTAAAAAAATAAATCACTCAATCCCTGAATATTAGTTACATAGATTGAACATTATACAATGAAAATTTCCTATCAATATTGATTTATAACTCTTAGGCTAGATTTATTGCCCTATCCTCATTTGATACAGAAGAGTTTGAACCTTTTTTTGTTTTTTTCCAATTGTGTATCACTTCCAAAAGTACAGTGTACCTTTGCTTGGTAAATGTTTTGTGTAAGAACATTTTAGTTTGTTAGAATTTCTGTGATAACTACTTATCATTATTCACACATTTGTAAAAGGAATTGAAGTAGAATTCCCATAATGCCCTAGAAAATCAGTTTTGGTGTGAAAATACAAAGTCTCTCACTCTCTCTCTAACCACCAATTGTTGGGACAGAAACTACATGTTTTCTTAAATGAGCTCACAAGAAAGATGTCTCTTCATACAGATAAGCCTAAAACCATTTCTTTCTTTGCATTAATACATACAAATCTCTCTCTCTCTCTCTCTCTCTCTGTCGTGTGTGTGTGTGTGTGTGTGTGTGTGTGTGTGTGTGTGTGTGTGTGTGTGTATATATATATATATATATATATATATATATATATAATATGTTCTCTATGAATAATGAATCCATCATGTAATTGTAATGTTTAATCAAAAATCAATCATTTAATAAATATGTTATATGTTGTTGCAGGCACACCAAAAATATTTTATTTTGTGTTTTAATGTAATATTGTGCACAAATATTAATTTAACATATTGTTGATGGATGATATAATCCCAGATAAAAATAAAACTAAGAACAAGGCTTCATATCCCACAACAGATGCATTTGATATTATGCAAGAGTTAGATCTTTATCAATTTTGTATATGAGGTTGTCTAGAAATTAATGGTATTTCATGAGGTTGTTAGAATAATAGAAAATGTCTTTAATCAAAGTAATTTCCATGTGGATGAACATTTTTCCTAAGTCCTTTATAGCTATATTGAAAAAAATCATTGTTTCTGGAATCAGTCAGCTTAATGCATCATCATGAAAATATTTTTTTTTTTTAATTTTTTATTTTAAATCATTCATTAGGTCTTGTGCAAGATGATTTATTTTCCACTCTACAGCCTTTTTCCCCACAGACACAAGGTCTCAAGCCCATCACTACTCTGTTGTTATTTCCATCTAAAATGTTTAGATGAGCTCCATTCTTTAGTTCTACCAGTTTACAACTAGGTCCACAGTATCAAATCACCCTTATTTTCTCCATATTCTTATGGTAAGGAGGAAGTTCCACTCAGTTTTATCTCTGAAACTGTTTCTTAATCACTTCAAGAATCAATTCTTGATTTTCCTTCTAATTTTCCTTGGAAACCTTTGGAAATTATACATATACATTTGGTTTTGTTCACTCTATTATCACAAGCTGGAGAGCTCTTTCATGAGCTGGGGAGCTTTAACAATATGTATAAGTTCACAGTAGGGATTTGTGTGACAGTATTAATGCTTGAGGATCCTAATGGGATATATCTATACCAAAATGTATCAATAATACCATCTGTTACTTTCTGTAAATGAATTATAATTGTTTGTTACAAAATACTTCTGGGATATTTTTGTCCTACTCTTTCAAAAGAAAAAGAAAACTTTATCCTAAAAAAAAAACCCTCTAAAGAGAATCTCATTTATGTAAAATCCTACTGACAAGAACAAATTGCTTTTGACAAAAGACAGATGAAAGGGTTAAAAAAATTATAGTGAAAACAATATTACTTGCAGTTAATCAGATGGAAAGTCAATCTTATGCAATTGATTTGTCTTTTAAGTGACCTAGATTTAAACAATATACCAGAGAGGCATTCTAATGTATCATCAGGCCTTTGTTATTTGTGCTGCTAGCTCATTAAAAATTGAATACTACTATTGTTGATTTCTCACATGAGCATACAGATCAATATAATCATGTCTTTTGTGATTCAATAAATTGCATCATTTAGAAGTAGCTTTTTTTTTCTTTTTTTTTTTTCAAAAAAGCACTTATTCCTATTAAGTTTCTTAAGGTGAAAATCTGGAATGCAACTTAGCATGATTAGAAATTCAAAAAAGACAGACTGTAGAAATCTTCAAAGTTAATTTTCCAGAAGAATCAGCTTTGCTATGACAATGATTGTAAATAACTTAAAAAAAAAAAAACTCATTGCCACCATCTGTCTATATTTCTGAGATGAGGTATTCTGACAATGTACACTATTTACATTGTTCAGACTGTTGTCCTTATCACGATGTTTCATCCATTGTACACCCCAGCCTTCTTCCCCAAGGACACATAACCCAGTGGATAAAAGCATTGGTTGAAGTAATCCATTAGCTTGATCTAAAGAATTGTGAGTTCAATATCTGGCCACAGCAGAGGTGAACAAAACTTGGAGACTTTAGTTACTAAGGGAAATAACTGACAACTGAGATATCCAGAAGAGGCTTGGCACATGAAACTAGAACAATCTACTCTGGTGGACAAAATAAATGGTTTGGTCCCAAATTCCAATCACCTGAAGAAGGCCAGAGTGTACAACAACTGAAATGTCATGAATATGATAACAAAGATGAAGACAACAATGTAAATAGTGTAAATACATTGCAAACAGTTATTTTCAATAAAATAACACTGAACACTATGAAAACTGTTGTAATTGTTAAAGATCAGTGATTATATATTTTCAGTAAACAAAAATGTATGTAAAACTGAGATGTATACAAAGAGTATCAAAAATACTTTTACAAACTTTGGGTGTGGGTCCCTCACAACAAAACAAGGACAAAGTCCATATAAACATATGTCTGCAAATCCTTTGTTTTTGAGTTAAGTTTAAAGAAAGTTTACAGTAGAAGGCACTGTGTTTCCATGTAGACTAGGTTACATTTGTCATTTGTGTACATTTGTGGCTAGTATGTCTTTAACGTGTGTAGTAGTGAGTTAACTGAGAAGTGTTCTGTTTAACAATATTCATATCATTCATATTCATAACGGATATTCATATCATGAGCTGGCAGATAAAATTTTTACATACGGCTGTGTGAATGGTAATAGATGTGAAGCTGTACACCTGTATCAGATTGCATTTCCAGACCAAAGGCATCTGACTTATCTGACCTTTGTTGCTGTTTATCATCGCATTGCTGAGACAGGATCCAAGGCACCGAAAACTACAGATTGAGAAAGACCAAGTATGCCTGACCGCAAATAACACATTTCACAGGCTATTTGAGATGATAAGGTATTAGCACATGTCAACAAATGCTTCTAGCATGTCATACATTTCATAGTACCGCGTGGAGAGCAACTCCTGTATTCTTATCATTTGCAAAATGTACAGTGTCTTTTGCCTGCTGATCAATCACCACAGGAGAACTTTTGCTGATGGTTTATTGCACAAACTGCCAATCTGTTGTTTCTCTCTTCAGTTTTGTTTATGGATGAGGCAACATTTGGAAGAAATGGAATAAACAAATTTACACAACTAACATTTGTGGGTGGATTGGAATCCATATGATACAATACAGCATAGTGACCAGCATCAATTTACGATTAATGTGTGAGCTTGAATTGTAGATGACTGTCCGGTAGGTCCATATATTCTCCCAGTACATCTTACCGGAGCTGTTTACAGGGACTTTGTTTTGAACACACTTTCAGACCTGGTAGAGGATGTACTGCTAATATGTAGACATTATGTGGTTCATGCATGATGGGGCTCCAGCACATTTTAGTCACATTGTTCATGATACACTGGTTGACATCTACCATGAAAAATGGATAGGTAGGGGAGGTCCAATTCCATGGCCTGCACATTCCTCCAATCTCAATCCTTTAGATTTTTATCTGTGGGGCTACCTAAAGCAAGCGGAGGACATTTTTAACACTTTTTTTTAATGAGTTGCTGTGTACAATGATGGCCTTTTGGGCATATGTTTATATGGGCATTTTACCTTGTTTTGGTGTCTGGAACCTTTCTCCAAAGTTTGTAAAAGTATTTTTGATACACCCTGTGTATATGTATGTGTATATATATATATATATATATATATATATATATATATATATATATATATATATATAAAAATCATACTGATCACCCAATACCACTTGTGTTAATTTTTGTAATGTCTACCTGAGTTTTACTGCTGTTTTGTTGGTTTCACATTTTTTTTCTAAAGTCTAACAGCTTATGGGCCCAGAATAGTCAATAGCTCAGTCAATGGAGTAGAGGGTTGTAGTAATAATCAACTGGTGTCTTTATCTGGATAGTTCACTCCAGAGCTAGCTTATTATTCAATGATGATGTTGATTTTGAAGCTTGTCAGTGTCTTTAAGTTAAGTTTGTGCTGTGATTGTTTTTTTTTTTTATTTATTCTTATGATGAAATAAGTCCCTTCTATTATGCTGTGAACATGGCTGGCTGCAAATAGCAAAACTCTTGGTTACTGTGTTAGTGTCTTATAGATAAACAAGTTTACTGAATCTGATACAAACTTTACTACTTGATAACTATTTAATATCAATGCATGAATACCATTTAATTTTCATAATGAATAAATAAAAATGTCAAAAAATACATCTGGGGGGAAAAAGGGTACAATTTAAAATGTTCATGAAAAAAAAAAGTTTTTCTTAGTAATTACAGTGTATATGTACTGTACATATTGCTGGCAATAAATACCAAATGTAAATACAGTGTTATAATTGAATTTTCTTTTTTTTTTTTTAATTTTAAGTAATTGGTTGATATTTTCAAATATTTTGCTGCACAATTTACACATTAATAGATAGTTCAAGAGCATAATAGTGCATT